GGGCTGTGCACCTCTTCAAAGTACCTCAGGAGCCCTCTTATAGAGGCTTACGTCATCTTATGCATTAGAACCTAAATAATAAAAAGCCATCTACATGTTCTACATAAGGATGACATTTAATGAGAAAATAGGCCATCCCAAGACGAAAATCCAATTGAAACCAATTGAACACCAAATGAAATTTCAATTGGTTTCAATTGGTTTCAATTGGTTCCAATTGGTTCCAATTGGTCTCAATATGTTTTAACAGGTTTCAATGGGACTTCAGATGTTTTCAATTGGTCCAGATTGGCCCCATTGGACAAATTGGCCCCATTGGCCTAGGCCCCATTAGACTTTAATGGGTCCCGAATTGGTTTCAAGTGGTCCGGATTGGCCCCATTGGACAAATTGGCCCCATTGGCCTAGGCCCCATTAGACTTTAATGGGTCCCCAATTGGTTTCAATTGGTCCGGATTGGCCCCATTGGACAAATTGGACCCATTGGCCCCATTGGCCTAGGCCCCATTAGACTTTAATGGGTCCCCAATTGGTTTCAATTGGACCAATTGGCCTTAATTTGGACTTCAAATGGTCCCATTGAAACCCACTGAAACCAACAAATCTAGGCATCTCATGAATATTCATTATCACTTTACACGTGTCACAGAAAAATAAATGTATCATGATTTGTTAAGCAAATTATGACAATGCACATCAATTTTGTGATTTCTTTATTCCTTCAGCAATTATTAACCAATAGATTATTTTGTCTGATCATGTTACAATTACATTCACGTTTTAGCAATAGATATATTGATTATATGATTACTAACCAAGAAACAATATACATATTTAGTATATATATTTGTACGAGCCAATGTCACTGTAAATGTAACTCTTGAATTCACTTCAAATGATCTTTGTGATGAAGTTAATGCAAATGAGATTGGAATATACCTAATTGGTGGACAGTTGCCAATATCGATTATGAAGTATCAATAATTTATCACTGGTTCTTCTAACTGGATCGATTTACCAATTGAATCCCCATTGAATGCCCCCATTGAATCCCAATTCAATACCAATTGGCAATTTGGAGTGCATGGAAAGTGAAACAATGGGTACCCATTGAAACCAATTGGCAATTGGTCCCCATTGGAACCAATTGGCAATTGGTCCCCATTGGTTTCAATGGGGACCAATTGGCAATTGGTTTCAATGGGTACCCATTGTTTCACTTTCCACTTACTCCAAATTGGATTCAATGGGGACATTCAATGGGGATTCAATTGGATTTTTGTCTTGGGATGTTATAAACAAATGTATTGACCGGTGCCGTTGTCTTTACAAAGTTGAATGCCTGTTATTTTTTCTAATTCAATATACAAAGTGGCCTTCAATGATGCTTTTGTTTAAGTATTATGCTCGCTCGCAAATGATTTTTAGGCCTTTCAGTACGCAAACGTACGCACATTATACACACAAATTATATTCAGAAGTCAGCATGACCTGGTGTTATCCTTGAGCTCAATAATGTATTTCAAAATACGTGATATCGCACATTTCAATATGGATTGTTCTTTGTTGTTGTTTTTTCTCTTAATGTTATATCATTAAATACTTGGAGTAAATGCATCTCGGAACCTTATTTATTCTCGGAGAGAGGAACATCTCATCGGTGAAAATGCATCATTTTAACGGGGGGTCATCTGAGTCATCAACCTATTTCTCGAGAGGGAGAGAACATGTTTGAGCTGGGTAGGCCAAAATGTATTTATCTGATGCGACACTACTTTTGCTGGAAAAACTGTTCAATAGGAAGAGCGCCGCCTGTAAGCTTTTTCCATTGACGACTCTTCAAATGTCTGCAAAAAACATACCCTCACTTTGCCCTGTTTTTAAATTATGATTACTAGTATAAAATCCTAAAAATGCGGAATTTAAACTCGTCGACAACCCTCTCTCCCCTCCCCCGCCCCCTCTCTCTCTCTCTCTCTCCATCCATCTCCCCTTCCTCTACATCTTTCTTCCTCTCCATCTGTTTCTACCAGTCACACTCTTCCGCCCCTCCCCCCTCTCTCTCTCTCTCTATTTACATATATATCGTATGTACAGCTCTCTTTTAAAATATGAACTGCCTGTTTAGAGACAGAAGGAAAAAAAATACTTAGTGGTAAATGCCCTTTTGGCTCCAAACAAGACAATAATTTTGTTGTCACTCAATGCCCCCCCCCCCCGATCTCTCTCTCTCTCTCTCTCTCGTTTCATATATTCATTTACTTCTATCTACTCAAACTGGCGGTAGGTACACAAATAGAAACGAGCGTTGCAACTTGTTTAATTGAAAAAGTTCGATTCTTCTGCTTCGAATTATTTTTTTAAGCAATAAAATGAAATGTGAAATTCGAACATTAAATGATTGACCATAACTAATATTTTTTGGAGAGATTAAAGTTTAAAAATATATAAACTTTGCTCCGGCTGTAATAAGTGTCTATTGTTATAATTGCTAACAATAATAGAAGTTCTATATCATGTAACTTTCCAAAAGAGAAATAAAAATCTACTCTTTGAAAAAAATCACGCCCTGCATGCCATTCTTGTCATATAAAAAAAAAACATAGTTGAAATTATGTATGCGGTGTTTGGATATAAGTTTTAACATTGCAATAAACACAATATGGTTCGGATAATGATAATGAAGGTTATGTCTATTACTGCTATCAACCATTCAGGTAATTGATTAATAATTCAATAATTCAAATGATTTTATTTCTCATGCAAAACACAATACAAGAATAATTATATCACAAAAACTATGCAATGAAACGACAAAATATAATGGAAAAGCACGAGAAAAGAGGAACTAACTTGAAGTAGAGGTTGTTGAAGTGTTAGTTCTTCAGATGCTGTTTTACAATATAACATGATAAAATTATGCTTAGAAATACATTTTTTTAAAGTCGGGTCTTTGAAAGGTTATCGGAGAAGGGCAGTTCTTTCCTGATGTTCCCTGACCGGAACACCATGTTCACGGGTCAATAATCATAGGGCATTAGAGACCGGTCGGCCCGATGAAGCATCCAGGAGTGAACCTAAAACGTCGCAAGCTAAGTTTAACTTGGCTTGATGAAGGTTCTTTAATGATTCCTTATAAGCTGAATGCTCTCTGGGGAACATCCATTATTATCTTTAGGAGGAAAAGGAGCATTATTTTCTCCGGGAATGGATCAATAAGAACGAGTTGAGAAATCAGATCTTCTTCTTCCAAGATGGTGGTTTCCTCGTCGGGTTTTCCACCAAAAGATACCAAAGGGGCTATCTCAGACATATCTTCAGGTACGTCTTGCATTTCATGTATGGACGATTGCTCAGCAGGTTGAATGCTACTTACATTGGTCATATCATCACCAGCATGAACTTCTTCAGAGGACACGTCTTCAGAAGTCACATCAGATGCATCCAAGTTCTTTGTACTCCTCCCCGATGAGTTGTCAGGATGTTGACTACTACTTCTATCCGTCAAGTCATCCTGGGTTTCGGAAGCCATGTCTCCCGTGTGCCCATCTCGAGGAGTGTGGTCATTGCTTGCTGTAGCTTCCTGAAGTACCTGGGTGTCGGTCTGTCCTTTGGTCTGGTCCTCTTCTAGAAAGGCCTCATCTCTAGCAGAGAGCTGCTCATCATTGACATCTTCTTTATCATATTCAGCATCGATCTGTTCTTCTACTTCACCTAACCGGCAGTAAGAAAGAAAACAGATAATTGGTTTATTTCTCAATACACATCGAATTGTATTATTATTATTGTGTACAACTTATCGCAGTGAATTTCAAATTTCTTTTATTTTGATGTTCACTAGGTGATAGATGAGAACTTGAAGTTGGTAGTAAGCATCTATTTGTTTTTTTATTCGATAGGAAAATGCTAACTTAAAGTAGTACCTAAGCTAGTTTTAAGTACCTTTTCTCTGCATGTGGAAAACGAATCTGCTTCAGAAAATACCGTCAGTCTGACTCTACACACATGCGCCGATTTGTATACCGAATAGAACAGCATGTTGCTGAAGTGTTGAATGGGGTCCTCATTACGAAACTGCAATTGTTCTGAATGAAAATATACGTTACCTTCGCTGAGATAAAGGTCTGCAAGGTTGACCAACTTGGCAGCTTGCAGTGCCTTCCTGAGCTCAATCCGTTCATCTTCCCTGGACACACCTTCTCTCCATTGTTTCAGCATATGACGAGTTCCATCACTGGTAACACGGTTGAACCTCATGTTGGTCATGAGCGCTCTCTGTATATCACCATGTAGGATTCCCAGCTGACCAGCAAGGCTGTCAATCTTTGCTTCATCGTAAAGATCGTCAGCTATCTGCTGTAATATGCCTGCAAACTCATCATCTGGGGGCTCCTCTCTAGAATGGTAAAAAAAGACAAACATGGGGGCGGTCAGAGAACGTAGGTATGACGAATTAACTTTAAAATTAGTACAAATCTTTACTTAGGTGAAGGAAAAAAAGACAAAATAAGTTCTTCCGGTGATGAGACTATAGAGGATTATGTTATATTATAACTCTAATCAAGAGTATCATCTTCTTCTTGTTTCATTACAGAACGTTTTCATTGTTAAAGTCGACCTATAGCAGTTGACTGACACAAATAGACAGCGATCCCATTGAGAGACCATGATAGACATGCTCGAATTATTAAAATCTATTTCAATTCATTAAAGGATTTTACTTTCAACTCAAATCACTATAGACTGGAATGCAGCTAAGATTTTCATGTTTTTGTTAATGATTTTCAATCTTTTATTCACTTCTGCTTTTAGATAATCACAGGTGGTCACGAAATTTCTAAACCTGATTTTGAATTCATAGAACACAAGTGTTACCGTACTTTTAGCACTGTTATTGACCGTCTAGCACCACTTATTTTACACACCAAAGTACATTCCGTAGTAGTGTTGTCAATATAAGAGAAATAATGCGTTTATTGTCAATTTGCCATGCAAAGAGAAAAGATATTTCATCTCACCCTGCTTGGACTGTATCACTCCCCAGTCCTCCGGTTGAATTATCCTCAAATGATGATGTGCCTGTCATGAAGGAATGAAGTCAGTTTGAATGAGAAGGAAAAAAAGAAAGAATTTAAGATACAAATTTGAAATGTTCTCTATCGTTCACTGTATTGGTATTCTAAGTAATTTCAAACTTTAAAAAGATAGCAAAAATGGGGTAGGAAACTATAAAGACCATATTGGATTTGATAAGCTTCACATTATACATATTTAAAAAAGTAGCAACAAATTGGCTTGGACGTATATAGTATAATGTTTGTTTTTTAAATTTTAAAGGAAATTGAGATTGGCAAATAAAGTCTTACCACTCTGAGCTTGTTTTCCAGAAGTCACCCAGGGAATGAGACTCCATTGATGTGTCTCTGCTTTCTTCTTCTGCTCTGCTGATCGTATCTCACTTTCTAGTTGAATTTTGGTTCTCAGCTTCCAGGTCTCACGCTTAAGTTGCTCCAAAAGCCCTTCCGTATAGTCATGCTTCTTCTTCCAGCTTAATTCTATTGACCGTTTTTCTTTTCTGTCTTCCTCTCTTCCTTTCTTTAATTCTTCAACTTGCTGTCTGAGAGTCGTCTCGTTTCGCTCTTTCTCCTGTACAATATTCGTCATTTCTGCTGCCAGTGAGCGCTTCTCTTTCTCAGCTCCTGCTCTGTCTCCCTCTCTTCCTTTCTTTAATTCTTTAACTTGCTGTCTTAGAGTCGTCTCGTTTCGCTCTTTCCCCTGTACAATATTCGTCATTTCTGCTGCCAGTGAGCGCTTCTCTTTCTCAGCTCCTGCTCTGTCTCCCTCTCTTCCTTTCTTTAATTCTTTAACTTGCTGTTTTAGAGTCGTCTCGTTTCGCTCCTTCTCTTCTAGCATTTTTGTCAAAGTGTCTTCCCGTTGTAGCTTGGACACTAGTTTCGTCATCATTTCTTCGTTGTCGGTCTCTAGTCGCTCAACCTGACGTCTTGCCTTCTCTTCTGTCCCCTGTACATTTTCAGCCATTGTTTTGATATGCAGATCCTTTGATTTTAGTTTCTTTTCAAATTCCATCTCCCTCTGCTTGTACGTCTCCATTATCTGTTTTGCTCTTTTCTCGTTTTCCATCATTGCCCTTTCACTATGTTCACGCCTTTCTTGTTCAACCTTCATGGTATCTTGTAGTCTTCCATTTTTACTGACTATGCTTGCGCGATTTGCACGGGACTCGTTGAGTTCCTGCTCTAAGTCTGTAATTCTACTTCGGAGTAACTTCTTTGCTTCTTCTCCTTCTTTGATTTCTTCTCCGTGCCTCTTCTGTGCTTCTGTGACATCCTTTCTTCCTTGTTTCCATAACCGCTCAAAGCTGGGACAAGAATAAAGCTGTATTAGGTCAGCAGATATCACTTCGTCACCCTTCTTCATGCATCCATGGAGGAGGTGAAGCCACTGCAACCGTTTCTCATCTGAGCGATTGCCACCAGATACGTCATAGATGTCAGTGACCCCGAGCTTTTTTAGTCTTTTTTTTGCCTTCTCGGTGTCTTCACTTTGCCAGGTAGTGTCCATGGCACATATAGGGACGAGACCTATCCAAAAGAAAACAAATCATTTCAATCGAAGAAGTCGCGTAATCGTCTCATGACCTCTATGTACCACACATTTGTCACATAATCCCTTTTATTTTAGAGGGGGGGGGGGGGGTTATATTTTTTGACCAGAGTAAGGATCGAATCTCTTAATTTTTCATTCAAATCTGTGCTTTCAAATATTGCCATTAAACGTGCTGTATGTGCATAGAGTATACCACCATTTTCTAGGGTTGTAAATAGAACTGGCGAGTGAGAGAAGGATCGATGGAGCGAGAGGGGGGAAGAGAAAAGTGATAAAGAAAAGTGACTGCAGAAGAACCGGATAAGGGAGTAAACATAGCCGAAGTCAGGAGATAATTATACATTTACAACTATGAAAACGAAAATTTGAAAATCGCGCCGGCCGAAAAGTCGCTCAGTGGGGGGGGGGGGGGGGGGGGGGGGGGGGGGGGGGGGGTAAGCGGACACTTTTTTTTTTTTTTTTTGAGTCCCAAAAAAAATCGCAACGACTCAGCCAGCCGAAAAGTCGCTCAGTGAGGGGGGGGGGGGGGGGGGGGGGGGGGGGGGGGGGGGGGGGGGGTAGTGAGCACATTTTTTTTTTTTTTTTGGTCCTCGATAATTTTAAAATTTGCACCCCCCCCCTTGAGCGCCAGGGGGGGGGGGGCCAACCCCCAAAAAGGTAAAAATCGCGTGATTTTACATGATTTTTTTCTCAAGGGGGGGGGGGGCCGGGCCCCCGGGCCCCCCCCCCCTGGATCCGCCACTGGCCTATTATATAATAATACAGGCCTACACAAAAAGAGGGAAGAATCAGCATGCATGCACAAAGAAAGAAAAGGGTATTCAATTTACAAATTGAACTGACGAAGGGCATGTTAGAGTTCACGATATCATCGTGATCGAAATTGATGAGGTGCAATTAAGGGCTTGAATGCATAATGGATAATATAGAAAACTGAGAAAAGTACTTGATTTTAGGGTCATATTGCATGAATTATGATTGTTTCCTCGACTGTTTTATGTCCTAGTTGTAACTGTTGAAAAAAAAACGTCCTATAGGAGGTGTCATTATCGTTAGATACACGTACCTACCCATTTAATAGCATGGCAAATAACATAAATCATTATACTGTATGTAAATACAAATTACCAGCCTTTATATTCAAACGTTTCATGTGTGAAAATAATCTGGCTCATAATGTTATTCATTTATTCATATCTTCATTCGTCCATTCTTGTAATCAATACGGTGCTTTATATCACTGCATATGTGTCAACAGTGCAATAGTTTATTAATTCAAAATTGTTTAAAGATACTCGTTTTACCTATATAGCGTAAAGGATTATAGGCAAACTCACCTATAACGCTCTTTATTGTCTTGATCCATTGTTGGTAGAAGTCGAAAGTAGACGGTCTAATAAAAATGAGAAAATGCACAGATTCAACATCGTCATTATCACGTGGTGATAATTGAAGAGGTAATGATGATAAAATGCACACAATTTGATTCTCAACCCGCCCCTACCGACCGAAGGCCACCTCAAAGAAAAGAAATTGTAGCTGATTTTCTTTGCCACATTGCCCCGAGAATGTGTTTATTTCGGTCCGCGGTATCAGAATGATTTCACGCGCCCTCAAGCGCCGTAATTTATGTCCGTGAATCCTTCATAATTTCGATATTAAAGATGTAAAAATATCAAACATATTCGGGCACCTTGCTGTAAAATTCGGGTAACAGAAGTAAGGAGAAACATTATAAAATCATGTTTGAATGGAGGAAAGTGATAAACAGTGGCGTATCTAAGTATTATTCCGATAGGGGCAAACAATGACATTGCCCCCCCCCCCCCCCTGCCCAAACGTATCCGCATTACTATACAAGCGAATGGGCAGTATATATATTGATTTCAATCTCAAAAAACACAATTTCTTTTACCCATATCAATATTACAAAGGCACCATCTACTGCAGCCATAAGCGTACCAGCATTACTATGCGATTACAAAAATTGTAGTCGATTTCATTCAAATATGTATTGCCCATGTGAATATGGAGAGCAAGAAGATAAATAATCACTCTAGTAACAGCACCATACATCCGACCTTCCCGGCAAGGTCTCGTACATCTTCTTCGTCTACACCTGGTAAGATGGTAAAAGAGAACGTATTTGATACATTGTGCATGATGAACTTTTTGGATACTATGAACATGATATTTGGCATACATGCAGAAGTAGAGAGAGAACAAAGTAGTCAAACTTCTGTAGTGTTATAAATTGATGTGCCAAAATAACACAAATAAATGAATTGTTTGTGTTATAACATTTAAAGAAACTACACATGAATAATATGTTGTGATAATAAAAGCAGTTAACATAATGTGTGTCATGAAGAGAATCTTACATGTGTTTGAAAGTCGTGGAATCATACTAAGAAGTAAGAAGGGGTCCGTGAATTTAAGTATAATAGGCCTATAAGTATAATGTCATGTGGGAATTTAAAATGAATTGCAGTAGGAAATAGTGGTACTATTCAAAAACCATGATCAGAAACACCCATGACAAGTTTAACAACATCAACAAAATGAGGATGTTTAAAAAAATCCAAAGACATCACTCTATATTAATGACATGATGCATCTATATATTATCACTGTTTGAGATTGATGAAATTGAAATCGTATTTGAGAAATGCTTGTTACGGAGCCTTGTTTGTATCTCCATGGGCTTTTGAGAAATAACAAAATGATGTAATTATTTGCAGTTCCTTTTGATAATCGTAATGTCGTATTTGAAGATTGACCATGTCCAAAGACCTGTTTCTGCAATTTAAATACACAGGTGTATGCTCGTACATAATACCCTGCTAGCGAGCCTCCTAATTAAATACATCAGGCAGGTCAGGTATATGGTCACAGTGAAACATACACATCATTATCAATAATTGTTTCATATAGATGACATGTTGAATTAATCAACGGCTAACACATACTCGTTTGTTTTTATTCGTTTTTTTAAATATAAAATAGAAATATGATATATTGCGCTCCATGTGTTTGATGTGTGACATGTAATAAGAATTCTAAGAGTTATTTTTTACTGTTAAAAAGTGACTTTTTAGAAGAACGCAAGTGTTCACATATTTCTCCCTTTCAGACGATAGAGGTGAAATGATGTCAATAGTTCATGGGTCACTCAGGCTTATGTCATGGTTCATAACCTCAATATATAAACAATTAAAATGTTAAGGACGTCTGATATTTAGCAAAAAATAATTATACAATTCAAGCGACTGAGTATAGCTATGACATTGTTGAATAACGTATGATTGTAATGCAGTGTAGTATTCTACCAACATGAAATTTCACGCCAAAATATGATCATCGCGGGGTTTTGTCAAACCGCCATAATTGAATTGAATTGAATTTATTTTCTTCTACAAAACAAACAAATCTGTCAATTTTTTACTACAAATTCACAAACACGCAGTTGGGTATACATTCTCTCATTTTGGGCACATGGGCATAAGTGTTATCTAGAGACGCGATGAAGAACAAAATAAGAAATCAAAATATATATTTCTTTTTACCCGACATATTTAGAGAGTTTAGACATTATTTACAATGCTAGTTTATTAAAGGACAAATGGCATTCCGTTGGTTTTATCATATGATGTTCCCATACAAATCATTATTTTACCAAAAACATACCTTCGGGTTAAGGAAATAGCTTTTATCCCACTTGTTCATAGTGGAGTCGTAGATTCATTTGAATTACTACAAACACAAACAACATAGCCTGATTTTCAATATACAAACCAATGAAATTTGTGGTGATGACAGATATAGAATCGGTAAAATATTCCTCCAGATCCTTAATAGATGTTTGACGTTTATCAGCAAGCTTGCGTTGCTCTACGTCTCCATAAAGAGCACTTCTCAGGGCAGGGACTATTCCACCCGCATACATGAACAGATCAATCATACCAATGACAAGCTTATCAGGAAACACCACTCGGTCATCATCACAAGGTACAGCCTTGCCTGGTTTGTACGACAAGATTTCACGACGTAATTCCTCTAGCTTCCCTTTCCTAATCACCGAGCTGGAAGTAGCCATCGTTGTTCAGATTTCGCCCTGAATACACGCACAAACACGTTACACGCTCAATAGTATACAGATTTGTCGTATGGCTAGATTTAGCATGTTATGTAGTAGGTCTAGTTATTACTGGGTGTAGGGAGTTCTTTATAAGCTAGGCACGTATCATGCCTAACAGGAGAAACGGATGAGGGATTTTAATGAATGATCAACCGACCTTTGACTTGTGGTATAAAATATGAAATTATTATTTGAATCACATACAGCAATCTGCCCACTGCCTTCATGCCCACGCGCACATGTTACAATAGTTCTCTACATGTTAGTGGTGGAAGCACAATATTCCACGCTAGTTTCTATCCATCATTACAATGTTTGAGCCTACCATCATCATATTAAACCATATGATATAGATATGGCTATTCTTGAGGTTTCAATCTTTCTCATGCATCATAGTCAGACCAAATTAACCATCAACATTGAGGAGAGGGAACTATCATGTTTCATATATTACTTTATGGTGTCTTATGTACGGTTTGGTCTCTATACCTGAGACTATATTATTCTTGCCATATTGAGGAATTGAATCGAATTTACTATTGATATTTAAAACAAAATATATATTACAATCTATACCTTTTAAATAGAGTTGGGGTAAAGATAATTAATATTTTTCTTTTACTCAAAAGACATGCATGTCCCTAAGTTTTCAATTGCTTTAAAAAGAAAACCCAACATAATATTAAGTAAACTTCTTACATTAGCGAGTGGCTATACTTTTCATTGGCAGCATATTGTGATGTCAAAACTAAAAATGGCTGTTTAAATTTATCGCTTTCAGACAAGCTTCCCGAATACGGTATCTATGTTGCAAAATTTCTTTGAAAGAAATGCATTGGTAGTAACAACAGCAACAACACGTGCATAGAGCACCCCTGTAATACAAGCGGTTAATACAATTTGCCAAGAAGGTCTAGTTTTACAGCCGTTTTACTGTCGTTTTTTGTTGCAGGAACTTGCAGAAGTATAAAGCGACCAACGCTTATATTAGGATAAATGATTTCATGTGAAGGCGGAAACCATTATAAGCAGGGGCGTACGCAGGGGGGGGGGGGGGGGGTGGGGGGTTCAACCCCTTCCTTTGGTATTTTTATGTATGTAAACCCCCCTAAAAAAAAACTAACCCCCCCCCTTTGGTTTTGTTTCTTTGTTTTTTTTGTTATTAAAAAAAAGTTATACCCATAAGGTGACCTTACCCCCCCCCCCAACGAAAAAAAAAAAAGAAGTCAAATTTTGAAATTTCGAGACCCCCCCCCCCCCCCCCCCAAAAAAAAAAGTGTCCGCTTACCCTCCCGCTTAACCTCTTTATGTTTTGAAGATCTGTGGATCTTCGGGGTCATTAATTGAAGTCATGTGCTAACCGTGAACTGGTCTATTACAAATGTATAACAGCATTATACGTATACAATACAGTGTATTTACTAATTATCACAGAAACATAACATAATTATATACAGTTGTAAATTGTTACTCATTTATAACAATATGATATGTTTTGCACAGAATCGTTAATATTTCCAAAAAAAGAGAAACACAAACACCATAAACACACACACACAACACGCGCGCACTCGCGCACACACATGGACTAGCATCAGCTCAGTGATCGCTACTTACAATGTACCTGCAAGGTGTGTGTCTGTGTGTGTGTGGTGTGGGAGGGGGTGTTAACACAGAACACAGAAAGGGTAATACAAATGTGTGTTATTATGCAAGCCTTTTCTATGACCTATGTATTTAACAAAGAATCTTACTCATCAAATCTTTTGAATTGCAACAATTCTTTAAACAAGTAACAACTACAACAAACAAGAACACAATAAAAAACGAGAATAAGTCCTCGTCATATGTTTTTCCGTCGAATAAACATGTATGTTAATATTCACGAAGTCATGAGAACTCGTCACTAAGTCACCATAATGTTACATTTTCGGTAGACATTAATTATTCACAAAGTCACAAGATATATTCACCAAGTCAACATAATGATACATTTCCATTAGGGAGTTCTTCATCAAGTGACCGTCATGTACCAAAGTGGCCTAATCATTTTTCATCAAATCACAACAACTTGACAATATTAAACATGTCTTGCCACCGTCATGCAAATTTTCTAGGGAAAAGTCTTAACCAAGTCACGGAAACACTTCACCAAGTCATTGTAATGTCATCAGAGGCGACGCTCCATAGGAAAAGGGGGGGGGGGGGGGCAGAGTAGCACAGTTTCTGAGATAGCCTCAAAGTGCCCCTCTTTTACGTGTATAGGCCAAGTGCCCCTTGTAAGAACCGCCCCTTCCCCTTAAAATAACTGCTCCTTTTCCTTGTGATAATTGCACCACCATCTGTTCATAAGATCCCCTTCCATTTCTCACAAATGCCCCTTTTCACATCTGATAAATGCTCCTATTAAAATATGATAAATGCCCCTTTTCCACAGCAATACGTGTCCCCTTTCCACTCTCATAAGTAGCCTTTTGATCTCTGGTAAGTGCCCCTTTTCAGGTACGAGAAGTACCCCTTACCACCTCTGATAAGTGCCCCTTCACCGCTCATAATTGCCCCTATTCAAATCTGACAGGTACACGTTTACCTTTAAAAGTGCCCCTTTTCCTTTGTAATAATTGCCGCCTTCTCCTTCTGATAAGTACTCTTTTTCTTTTTTGATTAGTGCCCCTATTCACCTTTGATAATCAACCCTTTTATTTTGACACGTGCCTCTTTTCCTTCTGATAAGTACTCCTTTTCTTGTTTGATGAGTGCACCTGTTCACCTTTAACCCTTACTGTACTGGGCTATTTTGAGCACCCACTGACTGGGGGGGGGGGGGGCCTGGGAGGCCCCCCCCCTATGATCTCGGCCGTCGATTGTCCGATGAACACGAAAATTTGCACGTTTGTAGATATTTACGTAAGGAACAAGATGGTATAATTAGTTTTTTCCGAATATGCAAATTTTTGTCGTTAGCCTAATTAATTATGCAAAAATGCTAATTTTATGCATTTTACAGAAAACGTTTCAAACTCCACTTTTTGAATGTTGAAACTCATTATTCATATGAAACTTCTTTTTAACTCAAAAAAGTTAATTTAATGTAATTAATAATGATAATTTATGTAAATTTTGATGCAAATTTTTTTTTTTTTTTTTTTTTTTTGATGACATGCGCATACTAATTGTTATGTAACGCCTTACAGGTATATCCGATTTCGACGAAAATGGTATCAAAATGTGCGTGAGACTTGAGGGAAAAAAGTCATGAAACGACAATTCAAAATTCCAAGCGGTTGCGGCGCAAACTCCGAAAATGTCGAGGGGGGGCCTCCCAGGCCCCCCCCCCCAGTACAGTAAGGGTTAATAAGCAACCCTTTTATTTTGACACGTGCCTCTTTTCCTTCTGATAAGTGCACCTTTTCCTTCTTATAAATGCCCCCTTTTCAACCGCAACAATTGCCACTATCATAAAATGACAGGTACCCCTTTTCCTTTATATCCGAATAAGCTCTTTTCCACTCTCATAAGTGCCCCTTTTCATCTCCGGCGAATGCCTCTTTTCAGGTGCGAGAAATTCCCCCTCTCTGTGCCCTTTTTCATTTCTAATAACTGTCCTTTCCCTTTTGCGGATAAGTGCCTTATTTTCTTTTTTCCATCTTAAACATGCACCCTTCATTCAATGCGACTTAGAACCCCCTTTTCTTTCATTTTCTCTAGAGCCCGCTCGCAACGCTCGCTAGCATTTATAGATATTGTAATTAAGTTACTGATACAAAGATTTTTCAGCATTCCTTCATTAGATTGTGCGTAAATTCATCAAAGTTGTTGTCCTCTTTATAAGATGTAATTTTTCGCATTGCGACCTCACACATCTTTAAAATCATTATTCAGACCATCACACCCAACTGCAAAGTATTTTGCTTAAAGCTCGGGTGACATCCGAGTAAAAGTTGATTCCTGTTGATATACATAGCTGCATACATCTTATATTTTGTTATTCAAACAGCAAAATATATTTCATAGATTTTTAGATAATTGTTTTAATAATTTTATCAGACCTGCTAAGCTCCACCCTAAATAAATGCGCAAGATCTCATTCATCTTGTGACATCATTTATATATATATCAATCATTAGTGAGTATGTAGTGGTATGTAGCTTCCCCCATTTCAGCACATGCTCACCAAATCGCATTCTGTCATACAACACCTGCATATTACCTTTCTTTTCCTTGTGACGTCACAGCACGTCCACGGTCTGACAAAGCAACTCCTATGTTGGTATTGTAAGGTCTATTGTATACAGGTGGTAAGTTCTGGTCGATCAAAAATGCATGTACTATACGATATCATTCACATCCATGAAGAATCTGTATAACCTACATTCAGCTTTGACAGGCTTGAATGTGTTGCTCTGCTGTGGAGTCCACGGAGCTGGAAAACGGCCAAGATTTCGTAAAAATCATAATTGAAAATTAAACAACATTCATTAATAGCACAATTGCGGTCGTTTACATTCATTTTTCCTTCTTTGTAACTGGCAGTCATTTATTCAACCCATTTTCGTGTAAAACATGGGGGCTTCAATTTTCACTCATAGAGAGATATTCCACAAACTCTTTTGATTTAAAATTTCCAACTTACTTTAATGAACTCACCTTGCTGCTACAGATACATTTTGAGATAAGTAGATTGTATTGTCAATGCTACCATTTTTTCCCCGTTCATAAATTCACGATGGAGGTAGTGGTAATGTGCATACATATGGATGAGATGACTCTGAATTAACCAATGAACTGACTTTCATTATTTGCACCGGTGTTGCAAGCGAACGACGTATCAATACAAACAAAAAGGGAAATGATCGAATCTTCCGGGAAAACTTTGTGAGGCACGTTAAGCGTGACGGCCAATCGGTTTTACTAATAAAGAACGGCCATTGAATGGAAACTCCACAGCATTTTGTTAA